CTGAGCACTAACACGGTTCAAAGCGCTGTGATGATGCATTTAAGCCTTACAGTGATCGTGTCAGGCAGATACTGTTCCTGTCCCCATGTTATAGATGTGAGGAAACAGACCCAGGCCAGACCCCACCCACACACCATTGGCTGGGGCAGGTGGGATGCTGATGTCTCATACCCAGGGTATGTTGCCCAGAATAACAAGAAGACGTGGGTAAAGGGCTTGGCTGGTGCCCAGCCCACAGTGACACCCAGGACCTGCCACCACTCTGGTCCCTGTCACTGCAAGCAGGTGCGGAGGTATCAGGTGCTGCTGTCGCTGATGCTCTCCAGCCAGACCAAAGACCAGGTGACAGCGGGCGCCATGCAGCGGCTACGAGCCCGGGGCCTGACGGTGGACAGCATCCTGCAGACAGATGACAGTACACTGGGCATGCTCATTTACCCCGTGGGCTTCTGGAGGGTGAGCTCAGGCTAAGGCAACCGGGCCAGGGGTGCCACTAGCCCGGGAAAGACATGAGGAGGCTGTGGGGGTGTGGGAGGCCGGGTCAGGCATCTCTGGCCACAGGGGCCTGGATGTGAGTTCCCACTGGACCCCCCTGCCACTCTGACAGGCCTACAGGGGGCCTGGCTGTGAGGCCTTGAGTCCAGGTCCTGGAGCTCCTTGGCCTTTCCTGTTTGCAGCCTGCCCCTTCCTTCCTCCACCTCCCCGCCCAGCCGCCTGGCCCTTCCTTTCCTCGGGGAGGCTGCCCGCCCACCTTTCCCTTTGTTTACTCCAAGCCTCTCTGGAGGGTGTTCCCCACCACCACCGCCCTGGAGCCCCAGCAGGCTGCAGAGCACTGGGTGGCGGGTGGGGCTGCTTCCCTTGGCATTGGCGTGGGCTGCAGTTTATCAAATGAGTTTTAAATAGTCTTCTCTGCTCAGGCACAGGATGGGAACCGCCCGGCTGGCCTGGCGGCTGGCGGGGGAGCCCCAGGCTCCAGCCTTCCTTCCTGAAGGCCCAGGTGCTGCTGAGCCCAGCTCTTGGCGTTGCTGGCCCAGCCTAGCCTGCCTGAGCTCTGGGGAAAATGATGGGGCAGGGGGCCTGAGCCAGACCTTACACACGTCATTGGCCCAGACAGGTCGGAGGCAGGGGTCCAGGCCTGTGTTAGGTTTCCCTCAGGCTCCCTGCTGCGTTTGGCTCATTCCCTCTTCTGGGGGGACAGGCAGGCAGGTTCCTCTGACTGTGTCCTGGGCAGGTGACAGGCACCTCTGGGCACCTGTGGGTCTCCCTCAGGCCTCGTCTTCCCAGGTCAGGCTACACACCCCACCTCCAGGACTGACCTCCCCCACCCCATCTTTCAGAACAAGGTGAAGTACATCAAGCAGACCAGTGCCATCCTGCAGCAGCGCTATGATGGGGACATTCCAGCCTCTGTGGCAGAGCTGGTGGCACTGCCAGGCGTTGGGCCCAAGATGGCACACTTGGCCATGGCCGTGGCCTGGGGCACCGTGTCCGGCATCGGTGAGCAGCACACACCCATGGGGAGCGGGAGACAGCTCTGGGCTTGCTAGCTGCTGTTGGGGTTCCTCACACCCTTGTGATCTGTGACCATGGCTCAGGTCTGCTCATCCAGGATTCAGGGGGTCGGAAGGAGTTCCCAGCGCTGAGCTAGGCCTTCCCTGCTGAGAGACGGGAAGAATGGGAGGAGGTCACATTTGCTGACCACCAACCATGTGCTGGGCTCTGTGAGAGGCCCCTGGGTGGATGCAAAGTCTGGACTGTGCATGGGAGAGAGACATCAAACCAATAATTCCTTACTAGTGGGGTAGGAACACTGAGCGGGGCAGGGCACTGTGGGAGCTGGCCCGGTCTGGGGCATCTGGGAAGACTTCCTAAAGAGGTGAGAATTCAGCTGAGAGCTGAAGGGTGAGGCGGGGCCGGCCAGGCCAAGAGGAGGAAGTACGTTCCAGGCAGAATGGTCTGCAAAGCCATGAAGTGGGAGAGGGCCAGAAGCAGAAGGCTCCAGAATAACATGGGCAGACTGGGGAGGCATGATGAAGGCAGGGGGACCCAGTGGCGGGGAGGAGGGGATTGGGGGCATGAAGAAGAGCTGGGAAGTGGGGGAGCCCCTTCCTATAATCCCTTTCCTGGTCCAGGTGTCACGTTCTGGCATCAGAGCACCTCTTTGTGGAGGCAGACCTCTGGTCGGATGCAGCAGCTTCCTCAGATCTTTGCCCAGAGAGTTGGGGCTTCTGAGGCCACACAGCAGCAGGTCCAGCCAGCCCCAAAACCAGGGCTTGACCCACCATCTCTCTGTGTGCCCTGACCCCAGTGCTCCTCTGGGACTCCTGTAGTGGCATGGGAGAGGGCATGGGAATCCCCCAGCACTTCCATGGCTTATGAAGGCTGCACCGTGGGGTGGGGGTCACTTCCCAGCACTGCCCACCGCAGGAGGGCAGCTAGGGGTTGAGGGCTCTGACGGCACAGTGAAGCTGGAGGGCAGCAGCCCCAAAGAGGCAGAGCAGGGCCAGGTGGGGGCTAGGGCAGAGCCTCGCCCCACACTAGGGCTCCTGCAGCTGCCAGCCTCTCAGCAGATACTTGAGCTGATCTGGGCGGCTGTCCTCAACTGCTGGTATCCCAGGAGTGATCTGGCAGGTCTGTGGAGGAAGGCCCCCGCCCACGTCAGACAGAGGACAGGGCTTTGGGAACAGCAGACACAGCCGGCAGGTGTGTAGGAACGTCACCCTTTCTGGTTGTCTGTAGGCCTGGCCACCCACAGGGAGACCGTAGGGAGGGTGAGCACCATCTCTCAGGGGCATCCCTAAGAGAAGCCCCCTTGATTAGAACGCCAGAGCTGTGGTATACAGCAGCTGCTCTCAGCTCTGCGCTCCCAGCTGGGTGACTCTGGGCAAAGCACTTGGCCTCTTTGAGCTTCGGCCACAAAGCACAGGAAGCAGTCACCCTCATTAGCAGCACAAGTGTGCAGAGCCCTCCAGGGCCTGCGCACAGAAGGCTCACGTGGTGTGCTGTGGCCGGAGACTGGGCCCTTGGGTGACTTAGGGAGCATGGTCACTTCTGTGTTACAGAGGAGGAAACAGGCTCAGTGACCCAAGGGTGCAATGCCTCCACTTGCATGCTCTCCGCATGCCCCCAGGGTGCCCTCCATCGGTGTCTGGGGAGGCCCAAGTCTCTTTCCAAGCACTTAGCAGCAGGGGAAAGGAGCTGGTGCAGTGACTTGCTTTCTCTTTGGCAAACATGGTGGTGGGGTAGGGGTTGGGGGTGGCATAGGGACTGCAGCTGGCTAGGGGAAAGGCCCCAGTGAGCTGGTGCCCAGGCCAAGCCCTGGGGTAGCTGGGCAAAGGGAGGAGGGGCTGCGGCCCAGGTGGACAACAGCTGCACTCCCCATTCTGTTCCTTGATGGTGCCGTGGCAGGTGCTGGCTCTGCGGGCAGTGCCCTCATGCCTGGTGCCCGCAGCCAGTGCCTGGGCCAGGAGCCATTGCTCCCTGTACTCCAGAGGCCCAGCCTTCTGGGTTCTGGCTCCAGCCCCTGCACAGCAGCAGAAGTGACCTGGTGACTCGCTCTCAGACCTGCAGCCAGCACTGTGCAGTTCTGGCCCTCCAAGGAAGCCTGGTTTTGGGAGGCGAGGGAGACTCACGCTGCAGGCACAGCCCCCCACCAACCTGGGCTTGAGGCTGTGGGCAGGGCCTGGAGCAGTCTGGGCCAGTGAGCATGCCCCATGTGCACCCCACCCTGTCTCCGAGCAGCAGTGGACACACACGTGCACAGGATCGCCAACAGACTCAGGTGGACCAAGAAGACGACCAAGTCCCCAGAGGAGACCCGCACTGCCTTGGAGGAGTGGCTGCCCAGGTGGGGCATGGTGGGATCTGGGCAGGATGGGCTCCCCTCCCAAACTCCTTCCACACTGACAGCTCCCACCCCCACAGGGAGCTGTGGAGGGAGATCAACGGACTGTTGGTGGGCTTCGGCCAGCAGACCTGTCTGCCTGTCCGCCCACGCTGCCAGGCCTGCCTCAACCGGGCCCTGTGCCCAGCCGCACAGGGGCTCTGAGGGCCGTGGGCCTCGGCCCCGGGCACCACCATGGCCACTATCTGTTACATGCCTCTGCTAGGGAGCTGCAGCCTGTTTATAATAAAGCTTGGGGTTGTTCATAGTTAGGATCTGGCTGACTTCTACTCCTGGGGGGTGGGGGTGGGCTGGGAAGCACGTGGGTGAGCTCTGCGTGTGTCTGTGATCACGTGTGTCTGGAACGGGGTTGTCTGGGAGGCCAGGATGGGGACATGACAATCTGGGCTGTATACTGGGGGCGGGGGTGTGTGTGCAGGAGTCCGGGAACGAGGAGATGGATCGTGGGAGCCAGCTGTAGCCAGCTGCTGGGAAGCCCGCTGGGGACGCCGGAGGCCTGAGCCTCCTCCCTCCTTGACAGCTGGCTGGGGACCCGGAAACACCCCTCCTCTCCTGAACTTGTGCACCGTGAGAGCGCCGCCTCTGCCAGGAGGCCCCCCCCCCCCGCCCCGCCGTGTTTACAGAGCCACCTGGCCTCCAAAGGAACACCAGTAGGCCCAGGCCCAACACCACAGCACGTGGCCTGACCTGCATATACCTGCTGGGGGCTGCACCTAGGCAGAGGGTAGCCCATGGGGTGCCAGGGGCTCAGAAGCCATCTCTGGCGAGGTGTTGGCAGGGGGCCTGGGTCTCACCAGGCAAAGGAGGTAGGCAAGGGCCCCACAGTGTGCCAGAGAGGGCAAGAAAAGGGCAGGGCTCCAAGATACAGGGGTCCCAAGTGGGCTGGGGAGGGGAGAGGGAAGGGAGGAGGGAGCAGGAGCTGAGAGGGGTCTGGGCTTGGATGCCAGGCATATGGATTGGGGGAGGGGAAGCTTAGGAATGAGCCCCATTTCCAGCGGTAGAGATTCAGCAGCTGCCCGGGCTGCTGCCTTCCTGCCCGGCCCACGGTCCCCCAGCCCCCAACTAAGGGCTCAGGAAGGACAGAGGCAGCCAAGGGTGCGAGGAAGGCCTGTTTATTCCGAGGGCGCGCATGCGCTATGGCTTACAGGGCAGACAGCAGTGTCGGTTGGGTTCAGGGCAGGGAGGAAAGGCAGTCAGTGGGGTCTCCTGAGGGTAGAGTTCTAGGCATGGGCTGAGCCCAGAAGCCTGGGGTCCCTCCTGATAGGTTAGGCTCTCACACAGCCACACTCCCCAGGCCTGGGGGCTGCCGCACAGGGACAAGGGGCCTGTCCAGAGGATGCCCTCTTGGGGGCCACGTGGCCTTCATCCTCAGGCCCTGGACCCCAGACCCCTCTGGGCCTGGCCTAGTGACCACCCATGCCAGGAAAGGCAAGGATGAGGCAGAGGGGCAGCTCCTGCAACCACATCTGGCCCCTACAAGCACACTCTGGAGCGCCCGCCCCCATCCCCGCCTCTGTCCCTGGAAGTCCTTGGGACTCACGGGATGACTGCTGCTGAGGGGGTGGAAAGGAACCGGTTTGTGGAGAAAGGTTTGTTTTATTGCAATTATTTAGAGAGTGCGTCCTGGCGGGGGCGGGGGCTCTGGATTAAGTGGAAACATGTGTGGAGCTGGAGCTCTTTTTGGAAAAAAAGCAAAAACACAAATTCCTTTAAGTCAGCAGGCCCAGGCAGAGCAGCGGGCCCTGCGGTCACCACTGCCGCTCCTCCCTCTCCCTTCCACCCCGTCTCCCTCTCTCCCTGTCTCCCTCTCCTTCTCTTCCTTGTCTCTCTCACATCTCAGGGGCTCCTTCTCCAGGATCTTGCTGCCACACTCCCCCAGCACCCAGCAGGAAGGGGACAGGAGGGGGGCTCACTGGGACACGGGTTGGTTCCTGGGTGGTGGTGGGACCACCACACCCTCTGGGCGTGAGGAAGGCACCCCCTCCAGTCCACTGAGGCTTGGGAAGCTCTGGGCCGGGCCCGTGGAGCAAGGCCCGAGGTCCATGCGGGGAGGAGGCCTGGGCCCGGCAAACAGGCAGGGAGGGGCTCAGAAGTTGCTGAAGATCTCGCGCTTCCGGTTCCAGTCCATCTGGGGCGCCCGCTTGTTGACCCGGGTGGCTCTTGCCTTCTCCTTGGCCTCGGCCGCTGTAGGGCTCAGGTGGAGGCCACTCTCCTGAAAGGGATCGCGCTTCCAGGTGCTGCCATCCTAGGGGCGGGCAGATGGCCAGAGTGAGCCCTGGACTCAAGCCCCCAGAGAGGTAACCCTTCCCAGGGAGCTCATACCAGAGGCCACCTGGTGGGGCTGGGGCAGCAGGCCCAGGAGGGCTTCCTGGAGGCGGTGGCCCCACTGCCCAGGCTGATAGCTCCACAAACACCCACCCCCAAGGCCTCTGGCCCCGCAGTGTGTGAGCACAGCAGTGGAGGTGGGTGGGCACTCGCTACCTCAGTGTCCTTGTCTAAGCCAGGCAGATCGCTTCGGGATGAACATGTTGAGCCACCATTGAGCTGGGAAACCAAGGGCAAGGCTTCAGGGGTCCTGCCCAGGAGCCACCAGTACACACACACACACACACACACACACCCCAATGGAGCAGCATTTATTCCTCCACTCAGCAGTGGGCACCAAGCCTCCACTAGGCTCCAGGCCCATCCTGGGCAGGACACGGGACACCCAGCAGTGAGCAGACAGGTGGCCCGGCCCTGGCCAGTTTTGATGTATGAATCACCCACAGGAGCATCACCTGGGGCAAAGCCAGGGACAGCTTCCTGAGGAGAGACTGAGGACTGCTCCAGGTAGCCAGGCAGAGGGAACAGGGAGGCCAGCAGCCCTGTGGGGCTGCAGTGTGGCTGACGCAGGACAGGGTCCAGAGGGGCATTAAAGCTGGGAGCAACTGGGCCAGATTGAGTCTCACAACTGTGCCCACACAAGGACAAGATCTCAGTGGGGCTCTGTCAGTCCTGGGACCCCCAAAGGAGCCTCTATGGTCTCCTGGGCCCACCCTGTCCATTCCCACCCTCTCACCTGGGCAGGGCTGGTCCCATTGGTGACTGGTGATGGCAGTGGACCTGTGGGGACACTGTGTCAGTGACTGCCCAGCCCCCTACCCTCCACCCCAGCCCCAGGCCCGCAGGGCAGTGGCCCACCTTCCACATGCTCCTCGGTGGGTGTGACCCGCAGTCGCTTGAAGTACTCATCTGTGTCAGGGTCTACCACCAGCAGCCGGGCCTCGTCCTCCCGCGCCTTGATGCTGGCGACCACCTCTGCATGGCGCAGCCCCTCCACATTCTGTCCATTCACCTACCACAAGTAGCATGAGGTCAGCACTGCCTGAGGGCACACCCCACCAGCCCCCCAGCCAGGCGTGGCATCAAATATTCATCAGCGTTGTCACCAGCCGCGGCAGCAAAAGGATGGCCAGCTCAAGTTCCCAGCATCTCCCTCCTCCCAGAGAGGACCTGGAGCCCAGACACATACACAGACAGGGCACAGGGACAAGGACATAGACACATGGGGACAGGGGACAGGGACACAGACAAATGGGGACAGGAACAACACACAGGGAACAAGAATACAGACACACATGGGGACAGGAACACGGACACACAGGGTACACAGACACGGGCCCAGACACATGGGGACAGGGACACAAATATGGGACAGGGAACAGGGCACAGACACACACATGGGACAAGACACACGGGGACAAGAACACAGACACATGGGGAACAGGGATACAGACACACGGGACAGGGGCCCAGACACATACATGGGACAGGGGCCCAGGCACATACAGGGAACAGGGGCACAGACACACACATGGGACAGGGGCGCACACACACAGGGGACAGGGACACAGATACACGGGGGACAAGAACACAGACACGTGGGGAACAGGAATACAGACACACAGGAGATGGGGCACAGACACACAGGGGACAGGGACAAAGACACACACAGGGGACAGGGGCACAGACACACAGGGGACAGGGGCACAGACACACGGGACAGGGGCACAGACACAGCGGACAGGGACACAGACACACAGGGGACAGGTACAAAGACATGGGGACAGGGACACAGACACACAGGGGACAAGAAAGACACATGGGGAACAAGGATACAGACACAGGACAGGGGCACAGACACAGGGGACAGGGACACAGACACAGGGAACAAGAACACAGACACACGGGGAACAGGGCTACAGACACACGGGACAGGGACAAAGATACATGAGGACAGGGACATAGACACAGAGGGGACAAGAACACAGACACATAGGGAACAGGAACACAAACACACAGAGGACAGGGGCCCAGACACACACACAGGGGACAGACAGACTCAAGGGACAGGGACACGGACACACAGGGAATAGGGGCACAGCCACACATGGACAGGGGCACAGACACAGAGGACAGAGACAAAGACCTACAGGGGACGAGACACAGACACACGGGATGGGGACACACAGGGTTAGGCACAAAGACACAGAGGGGACAGGGTGACAGACACACACAGGGACAGAGACAGACACACACAGAACACTCAGCTCCCTGAAGCCTTGGTGACAGGTACCTCAATGAGTCGGTCCTGGGCGAGGAGGCCAGAGTGGGCAGCAGGTGAGCCTGGGTCCACAGAACGGATGTACTGTCCGGGCCGGGATTTGTCACTGTGCAGGTTGAACCCATAGCCTTGGGGGCCCTTTCTCAGGTGGCAGAGCCGAGGGCGCAGCTCCCTCGGTGGCCCATTGACATCCTGCAGCCACAAGGGACTCAGGGTCAGGCTCCAGCTCTGATCTCCCACCCCCAGAGGCTGTGACACCAGCCTGAGGCCTCAGGCCCCAGGTGTACGAGCACAGCAGTGGAGGTGGGCAGTGTGAGCCCCAACCCCACACTCAGCATCACGCCTGTCTGGCAGCGGCCCCAGGTCTCAGAAACAAACACCATGTGCTCTGGCCCCAGGGGCCCCATTATGCTGCCTGTGACCGAGCTCCAGCTGTGACCAAGCTCCAGCTGTGGGATCTTGGGCAAAGGCTGTTTCCAAACCCAAAAATGACTTCTGATGGGGCCTTACGGGGTGTTGGGAGAATCAGCTGGCTTAAGGACAACACTGAGCACAGACCAGGGTCCTGGGAGAGGCCAGGCAAGATGAGCTGCCACTTATCGTGGGGTCCCGGGCTGGCTGTCCCTGCGGGCTCTGCCTGTGACCCCCGCTCCCCGGGCCTCCCTCTCTGAATGTGGGGATGGAAGCGTCCTCGGCCCCAGCAGTTTTGTTTTCTCCCCTAGTGGCCTCCGCAGGCCTGGTGGCAGTGCGGCTGTGTTTGCTTTCACATTCCAGAGCAAGCTGGAGCCGCCTCCACCCCCACAGGGCCCAGAGACACAGGGACACACCGGCTGGGGCTGGGGCCGAGGGAGAGGACCGAGGGTAGGGCCTGCCCTCCCACACCCCTGGTGGGACCCGGAAGGCCCACAGTGCCGTGAGCATCCCCCCATCGACACCCCAGGGCCCTGCCTGGCTTTACCTCTGGCATCCTGCAGTAGGGCTCTGGGCCAAACCCCAGGACCCTCACCAGCTGGGACCTGGGGCAGTGACCACGGTGCTGAGGGGCCAGTGGCTGCTGGTGCTCAATTAAATATGGCGGGTGGCCGGAGTGAGCGGGCGGGCAGCAGCTCAGGTTTCTTGGGACGCTCGGGGCTCAAGTGCGCGTGCAGGTGAGAGTTCGGGGTGGGGGTGCTCACTGAGGCCCTTCCCTCACCCTCCACCTCCCTGCATGTATCCGAGGGACCCTGCGCCAGGCTGGGGCTTGGGGTGGCACTGAGGGAGGGGCCCTACGCCCTCAGGGAAGGTCTCCAGGCCTCAGGCACCTGTCCCCCTGCAGCCCCCAGGCCTGTGACCCCATCCCAAACCCCAAATCTGACTGCATGCTCTGGCCTGCCGGGCAGGGGCTGCCCAGCTGTGGGACCAAGTGTGTCTTTCCCCACAGGGCAGGTGCCTTGCCCTGGGCTCTGGGCCTTCCCACCTGTCGGGAACACCCTCCTCCTGTCCAGCCTGCACCCCTTCTCCAGGACCACTTTCCTGACCCCCAAAGCCTGCCCAGAACCCCTGAGAACCCCTGCTGCAGACCACCATCTGGCCACATGACCTCAGGAATTCCAGGGACAGGGTTGCTGCTCCTTGGGAGTCTGCTGGTCCCTCAGGGCTCAGCCAGGCAACGTGGGCCAAACTGAGGGGTGTGAGACCCCCAAGTTCTCCAGAGTCCCACTGCATAGACCACCCCCGCTCCTTGACACACCTGGAGGTACAGGTATGCAGCTTTATGGCCGGCCCACACCTCCCCACAGAGGTGCTCTCAGGTACAGGCTGCCAGAGCACAGGCCCCGAGGCAGGCAGGCTGTGCCTGGAATGCAGAAGTGTGACATGACCACGCCTGGCATGTGGACATGGGCCCAGGTGGCACAGGCACATCACGTGATCACAGAGACCAGACATCCAAACACACTCACAGACACGCTACACGGACACACACAGTGACCCACATATGCAAAAGGACAACCCCATGGCACCAGACCCGGCAGCCTCTTCCCACGCCCTCCACAGTGGCCTCCAGGGTGGGGCCTCTCAAGATCCCCAAATGGGAAGCAGGATTTGGAGGGGCATCCGGGGCCATGAGGCCAGGCTGAAGTCACATCCGGGTCTGGGACCATACTGGCCATCCTCCTGCCTCAACTCAGCACGGCCATCTCCCACCACATCAGCCAAGAGGTTTCTCCTAACGTCTAGCCTGAATCCCTCATTACGATCAGGATCCAAGGAGCTCCAATCTCGGCACTAGACCCTCGAGTTCAGGTGAGGGCCAAGGCTGGTGACCTAGTAGGGTGGCCCAGTGGGGAGGCCGAGAGAGCAGGCGAGCAGTGGGTGGGAGGGGGTGCAGGCCCGGCCCAGCACATTGCTTACATTCCTTGCTCCCTGCCCTGGCTCAGAGCACTTCCTGCTGCCTCCCAGCCAGGCCCTTGGGCTCCTATGGGCTCCCAGCTGGGCAGCCCCAGAGCCAGACAAACCCTGGTCTCCCAGCCATGCCTGTAACCAGACAAAGAGGCTGGCATGGGGGTACCCCGGGAGCCAGGCTGTGCCTCCCCAGATGGTGACTCACCATCCTTGGCACCCTGGCAGAAAAAGGCCCCCATTGTTGCTCAGGGTCTGGCCTACTCACACCAGGGTCCCCAGAGTCCCTTCTCCTGACCCTAGGGGACACAGGCTAAGCCAGCTCCTGGGGTCCTCACCACCCACCCTGCCCCCACCCCACCTGACCTGCACAAGCCCCCGTGATGGTCTCCGTGAAGAGGCTCCTGGGGCCGGGGCAGCTGACGTGGCATTCCCAGAGCGGGCCATGGGAGGTGGGACAGAAGTGGCAGGCAGCGAGTGTCCAGCTGGAGTGGCCTGAGTTCTCCGGCCAGCCCAGGCTGCCACCCCATTTATCCACCTCCCACTGTGGCCCAGGCTCCCCAGGGATGGGTGGGGATTTAGGGCTGAGTCACTTTGGGGAACAGGGTGGTGGCTAAGTCCCCCTCCCCTGCTCAGGCTCCAGCCCGGAGCCCCCCAGCGGCTGAGTTTCCGTCCTAAGAAAGGAAGGAAGGAAGCTGCCAGGAGGCCCTGCCCTGGTCCCAGGACCTGCTCCCGGGGCTGGGAGACAGAGAGGCATGGGAGGGGACCCCACCCCAGAACTGAAGACAATCCTGCTATGGATCACTGGGAGCAGAGGGGGGCAGGAGCCAGGGAGCCCCAGAACCCTCTTGTAGGCACTGGGTCCTCTACCAGGTGGTCACCCCCTGCAGGACTCTGTCACCTCTCTCATTCTCAGCCCCTAAGGGTCTCCCAAACTGTGGTGGGGGCACGGGCTGGGTCCATTACTGCCCCCATGGCCCTGGCACTGCTAGCTGCCCCATCTCCGTTTAGGGGCCACCCCCTCTTGTCACTGTCAGGATCAGCTGCACTGCAGCTGCAGCCACCCCCAGCCGGGTCTGGCCCAGGGCTGAGTCACCACTGATGAGGCCTTGACAGCCCCCAAAGGGAGGGGTGGCCACATCAGTGTCTTCCCCTGCCCCACCTCCCCCATCCCTGTCCCCCAGGACAGGAGGAAAATGAGGCTGAGGGGACCTGAGTGGCCCACAGGGCCCTGACTCCCACTTTGACCTTTGCCCTCCACAGGGCACCAGGGATGGGTCCCTTCATCCTGCACCAAAGCCAGCCTCACACTTCCCACCCTGGTTCTCCCGTCCCATTACAGCACATACATTACTACCTGTAAGCATCACCCTCTGCGGGGGGCGGGAGCTGAGCCTGGTCAGCCAGGCCCAGCTCCTCCTTCCCATGCTCTGAGCTCAGCCAATTAAACATCGGGTCTCTGGCGAGGAGTGGGAGGGGAGACCCTGTCCCCCGGGCCCCTCCCCGGACTTTCTGGGGTCCTTGTCCCAGGCCAGCCCCAACCACAGAGGAACTAGCTAGTTCGGCCCCACTTTGTTCCTCTAAAAATATGCCCAGAGGAAGCCCCCTCCTAGGGCTTCCTGCAGCCCCCAGAGCCTGAAATAGCTGAGGGGGAAGGTCCCACCCAAGGACAAGGTGCCTCGGCCACCCCACCCTCCAGATAAGGCCTGAGGGTGGATTTTTCCGCAGGAAGGTGAACTCAGCCATTTGTGTCTAAATCAATGGACGAACGTGTAGGGGGAGGGGCGCTTCCTCCAGGGGCAAGCCGCCCAGGAAGGAGGGAGACTTCAGCCCTCAGGCCGGGGAGGGGGCCCAGGCAGCGCACCATCCCAGGGCCACCCTGAAATCACAAATCTGACCCTAACACCCCCTGCTCTGGCCTTTGCGGCCCCGGGGCAAAGGGCAGACTCCAGGGCTTGGCACCATGGCCCTGCCCACCCCCGCGGTCCTCTGCCCTCCAGCCACCAAGAACAAAAAGCGGCCCATGGGTTTCCACGCAGGCCCGTGCCCAGGCTACTCCCACCTGGAACACCGTCTCCCCCCAGGACAGGCCCCTCAGGGTCGGGCTCACAGGCACGGCCAGCTCACACGGGAGACATTCAGGAAAGGGATATGGCAAATGTCTGGGTCCCCTGTACACCCGGAAACTTTAGCTTTCCTGCCTCTACTAGCCTTAGGCCAGTGGTCCTCAAAGTGAGATCTGCAGAACCCTGGGCTTGAATCCCAGGGTTTTTCTTTAAAAGGGAAAAAAAAGGGAGTGAGGACATGAGAGACATTAACATGGGGCTTCCAGGAAGGCAGAGAGCAAGCAGCCTTGGCCCCTCCTCCCGGCCTCCAGGTGCTGCCCAGGTAGGGCCACCCCTAGGTCCTGCTCCCTAGAAGGAGGTGGAACAGCAGCCCCCACACACGCTTTTCCAGCTCTTCTGGCCTGGAGGCGGGGCAGGCAGAAGGGGGAGGTACCCCAACCCCTGTAGACCCCACTCTGAGGACCCAGCTTTGAGTCTCCTGGGCTGCCCCCAACCACTAACTGCCCGCAGAGGAGGGCCAGCCTCCTCCAAGACCTTCATAGCACAAGCAAGCACCTCAGACAGACACAGGGACAGAGCCAAAGACAGACAGACACCTGACCAGGCACAGACCTGGGCACACTCAGCACAGGATGTCCCAGCAGCCCCTCCCCAACTTCGTTAGCCCCTAGGCCGGGGAGGTGGTTTGTCACAGGGACCTTCCCCAGGCCAGGTGGCTCCGATGGCTTCCATCCTGTGGAAGCAGGCCAGGAACCAGGGCCAGGCTGCCCTGGACCCCACCTGGCTTAGGACACAGGCTGAAAGCTGAAGGCAGAAAGAGTGGCCCGAACTAGCCAAGAGGGTAGTCATCAGGGGCAGAGAAGGTGCCCCCCGAGAAGCAGAAGGGATGGAGACAGAGACTTCCGGGGCTGAGCAGAAGCACAGACTGCTGTCAAAAGGCCGAGATGGTGGTTCTAGGAGCAACCATGGTGGTCCCTGTGGGCAGAGCCCGCCATACCTTCTGGCCAGCCTCAGAGCCGAGGCTGCCTGCACGTGCCCAGTCTGGCTTTGGCTCCCAGGGGTCGTGGGCAGGCGGAAGCCCTCGCTGGGCCATCTCCTCGGTGCAGGTCAGCTGTCGCCGGTGGAGCTCCTCGTCCGTCTCCTTGTCCACCACCAGTAGCCGAGTCTGCCCCTCCACAGCCTTGATCCTCTGCACCACCTGGGGCAGGCAGGTGGCAAGAGCAGTCAGCGGCCAGCACCCTGGGCAGCATATGGACAGTGGCACCACCCAGGGCTGGCCCGGGCTGGCGGGCAGGCGGCTGGCCTACCAGAGGTGGGCGGCTGGACCGAGAGGCCCGCTGGCTCCACCCCCCACCCCCAGGCTCCAGCCGCTCCCTCCCTCCCTCCTCTTCCGGGGCCCCTGACACTTGGGCCCAGCCTGCCAGGGCTGCAGGGTCATCGCCTCAGCCAAGGGTCTTCTCCAGGAGGGACCAGGAAGCTGGGGGAGGCAGTGGTCTGGAAGTGAGAAAGATGGTGCACGGCTGAGCTTCAGGTTTTCAGTGTGCGTGTGTGTGCACGCGCGCACGCACCTGCGCACAGGCATACATTGATGTGTTTCAGGGTCTCTCTTGGTCTGGGTTTGAGGGAGAGAGGTGTCTCCCTGGGTCCCAGTCTGAGTGTCTGTGCCCATTTCTGTCCTTGTCAGTGGTGGAGCACAGAAGCCTAAACCCCTGCCTCTAGGCCTTCTGTTTGCCCCCAGGCCATGATAAGACCTGGGTTCCTGTGGCAAGGCACCTACGTGAGCACCTACACACAAGCCAGTAAGCAGGATTCAAACCCAGCAGGCAGGGTGGGGAGGGACAGGTCCACCTGTAGGACAAGTGTGGCATTATGGCCATCTGTGTGTCTCTGCAGGTACGTGTGGGGGCCGTGGAGCACACATGCCACTGTGCGCCCTGCAGGGAGAAGGGGCAGTGCCCACTGGGCTTTGGGGTAGCAAAGGCAACACCCACACTCCAAGGCCTGGGGGAGGGCAGATGGGGCCCCCATCAGCTGCTTGGCAGAAGTCATCCTCAGATGGGAGGGTCTGAACCAGGCCCATCTTCCCCCTACCCACCCCTGCCCCTCCTCTGTCCTTCCTCTCTCCCCGGGACCCAGAGAGCTGCAGGAAGACCCCAGCACCCTGCTGCATCCTGACTGTGGGACCCAGACAAGTCACCCAATATCTCCAAGCATCAGTTTCCTCAACTGTAAAATGGGAGCCATAACTGCACCTCCTCCTTCCTGGGGCAGTGGGAGGGTCCCACATGGTCCTGTGTGTGAAGTTCTCGGAGACCAGCACCCGGAGGCCTGGAATAAGCAGGCGCTCCTGGGGCAAGGATGACAGTGACTGCTACACAGAGGCCAGGTGCCAGCTCTACCAGCCCCTCCCCGTGGCCTGTCAGGCCAAGTCTTCTGGCCCTGACCCCTACCCTCCTTCAGCAAACAGTTTTATCCAGTTGACACTCTGGGTGGAAGACAGAAGGACTACAGACAGATGGATAGAGAAGGGCCCCAGGGGTAGAAAAGAAGCTTAGCTCCCAGCCCAGCCAAGAACCAGTTTACTCTTCTCTAGGCCTCAGGGCTGGCCATGCAGACGGGTCACAAACTCATAGTTCTGGGAGGACACAGAGGACCCTAAGAACAGGTGAAAGGAGGCTGGACCCAAGCCAGGTGAGTCCCTGGCCAGTGGAGATGGACCCCCTCCAGGGGTCCAAACCTGCCCTCCCTCTGGCCTTCAATCTCCAGCTGCAGGAGGCAGGGTCTGCAGCCAGAGAGCCTGGCAGGGCCGGCAGCCACCATGGAAAGCAATGTGCTGCCACCAGTAGCGACTCCTATCGGGACCCAGACACCATCAGCCAGGGCACACACTAGGACACCAGCCTGCCAAGACACACTAACGACTACACACAGCCAGGTGGGCAGACACACACACACACAGCCCAGCTCACACACACATCCAGGCATGCAGACCTGTATGTTGACACACGCACAATCCGACACACACACAGAGCCCTGCTCTCACACACAAGTCCAGGCATGAGGATCTATCCACACACACACAGCTAGGGGTGCAGACCTATATATTCACCCACACAGTCCAGTGCACACACACACAAACTCACTGATACAGGCTCATACAGGTGTGCCCTTACTGTGACACCACCCCCCCCAGTACACACAGGCAGATGTGTGCACACATGGGTGATCCCCAGAGGCACCTGCACACTCACATACATTGTGTGTGTACACACGCACATATGTACACACTCATAGAAAAGCATCCAGGGCACCCACTTGCGTGGAGACCCCACAAGGTGCCCTACACCTCCACACATTGTACAGGGAGGCCAAAACAGGACTAAAGAGCGAGGGCCAAGGGCCCAAGAGCCGCAGTGCGGGGCCCTCCCTGCCAGGATCCCTCCCGCCTCCGCGGTGCAGGACTGAGCTTCCTGGGGGAGGAGGCTAGGAAGGAGGACGGCGGCCGCTGCCTCCGTGGCCACGTCCCCCACCTCCCCCGGGGAGCCCACGCAGGCCCTTGTGCAACCCGGTCCTGGCCCCCGCGCAGGGAGCTGGAGGCCCGGGCTCAGGCGGTGCCGAGCCAGGTGGTCCTTGGCGCCCCCCGCGCGCGCGGCACAGGGCGCGCTCCCCGGGGAGGGGCCCGGAGGGCGGCGGGCGGGGCGCGGGCACCCACCTGGTGGTGCGTCTCGCCCTCCACGTTGACGCCGTTGACCTCGACCAGGCGGTCTCCGGCGCGCAGCGCGGCCGCCTCGGCTGGGGAGCCGGGCTCCACGCGCCGGATGAACTGCCCGCGGCGGCCCTTCTCGCCGTGCAGGTGGAAGCCGTAGCCGTGCTCGCCGCGCACCAGGCGGCACAGGCGCGGCCGCAGCGGCTCCGGCGCGGCCATGGCGCCGGCTGCCCACCCGCCGGCCACGGGCTGGCCACGGCGCTCACGCCCGCCGCCGGCAGGCAGGGGCTCGGGGACGGCGCGGCGGCGGTGGCGCTGGGGACCCGGCGGCGGCCTCGGCGGCTCCCGCTCGGCTCCAGTCGCCTCG